GAAAATGCCCTAAACTATACAGAAATTGAACAAGCACTTGGAAGCAACAAAAATTGTAGACAACCCCTAGAAGATGCAACAAATTGCAAACAACCCCTAGAAGATGCAAAAATTGCAAAAAGCACTTTCAAAAGGTTGCAACTCTTCAAAAAGATGCACAGATTTCAAGCAAATGCTAAAGTACTGTAGCAATACCAAATTATGGATCGATATATCTTTAAACTAAGCAAATTAAAGTTTCTAAAATGACCAAAATATCTCTAAACTAAAATTTAAATTAAATGACCGAATGCCCTTAAACTAAAATCCAAATCAAATGACCGAGTGTCGTTAAACTAAAATCAATATCAATTGGTCAAGATGTTGTTAAACTAAAATCTATATTCTATGATACCTCGACATGGTTGCAGGGGTGTCGTACCCGTGTTCCACATATGTTGGGTATAGGTGCACACCCAAAACGTCACGAATACGGGAACATTGCTTTTTTCTTCCAGTGTTATGGGTTCTCTTAAGGGGTTCTGCAATTGAAGAAGGAGAAAGATGACTTTTTCTCTGTCATTTTCTTAATTCTTTATCATTGTTATAAATAACGGTAAATAGCCCCGTAATAGCGACGCTAATAGTGTTAACGTTCCCTTCCCGCTACATTTTTGCCCAATGGCGATGATATATTACGGAATATGCGTTTTTCGTTCGCAAAAACGGTCAATAGTGTGTCATAATGGTAAATAGTGGGCGATTGCATGCAAAATCAGCTTTTGACTGCTATTTAAAAGCGGTTTGAGGTTTATTTTTTTAAAAATTAAACCCGACCCTTGACCATCGCATTCCAACGTCTCATGTGATTTTCGGCATACTCCCGTCACATCTCATAGCCTCTGGCACCTACCTCAGTACTTTCTCTCACCTTCTTCACCATAAGCTTCTCTTAGGGGAGTCTTCTCACCGCTGAGCTCTCGAAGACGACGACTCTTTGATTCCTCCAGTTATCTTCGGTATTACGTTATGGTTACATGTCTATTTTAAGTTTATAATCTCTTTAAATCATCAAATATGTACTTTTAGATTTTTTAGACTTTTCTTTAATATTATTTTTTTAGTATTTATACATATCTAAATTAGACCGCTATTTGACTTTACATTTTTTACTGCTATTTTATCGTAATAGTACCAAATAGCCTTAGCGATGTCTCACCGTTACGTGACGCTATCCGCTATCAATAACCCTGTTCTTTATTGGTTAGTGGAGGATGACATAAGCATTCACACGTGGGTTCTCTCTCATTTTCTTAATTCTTTGCTAGTTAGTGGAGGATGATATAAGCATTCACATGGGATTGTTTGGCCAATTGCTTTTGTCTTTTCTTAAAAAAAGGCAGTGATAGTGATGGGAGCACATAGCTCCTTATAAGTATATAAATAGTTCAAGTTTAGTTTTTTTGTTCCTTTGTGGAGTAGAAATGTATAGTTTTCAAATAAGTTCATTTTATTGAGAATTTCATATTAAATGCAGAAAGCTGATATAGTTGACATAATTGTTATCCTTTAAACTAATAATATTATATATGCGCGCGTGTGTCACTGTTTTAAATATCGGCCGATAACCGATATTATCGGCCGAGTTATCGGATTTGGGAGCTCTCCGATAGGATAACTTGGATTTTTAATCGGTCATCGTTTTTGGCAAGTTATCGGGGAGTTATCGGCGTTATCGGTACTTATCGGCCGATAAGGTTTTTTTATCGGGATTATCGGCCGATAAGTAAGGCTATGCAATCGAATAGTTTCATCGTGCAGTCAAGATGCAAGTTTTGCTTTCTATAATTGGTTAGTGATTCTAAACATGATGATTTACATTTTGGTATGTTTATATTTCATTAAGCATGGTTAGATTACATTTTTTAGTTATTATATTATATATATACACCATCTAGTATATCACTCCGATAAATACTACTTATCCCCGATATATCCCCGATTTCCGCTATCTGATAAGAATTTTGGTCGTCCGATAAATTCCCGATAACCGATATTTAAAACCTTGAATACGATTATAAAAACTTTGATCATGGACTCTATATTAAGTACATGAAAATTATAAAACAATCAAATGGGTCACTTGGGTCGGTGGGTAACCCGTTTAATAAACATGTTGACCCGATTAGGTGATGGGTCGGGTCGGGTGAATATTATATTGGTCGGGTCAAAATTTATGTGGGTTGGATCGGGTTGGGTCGACCCATTTGCCACCCATAGAAAAACATGACTTAGCATTTACATCTCTGATTTTTATACCATTTTTGTTCCTGTTGTTGCTCTTGCATTACTCTCTTCATTAGAATTTTTTCGAAATAGAGTATCCCCGATTTCCGCTATCCGATAAGAATTTTGGTCGTCCGATAAATTCCCGATAACCGATATTTAAAACCTTGGCGTGTGTATATGTGTGTGTTTTTCAACTGTGTCCTCGTACTTTACATTTTACAAATTTACCATGTCCTGTACTCGTAGCCATACATGTACCCATGCAACCTAGTCTATATCAAATGATTGAAATGTCATTAAACTAAAAGTCACATATACCAAATGACAAATGCAAATTCAACCATCATGTTTCTAAATTGAAAATCCAAATCCAAACTATTATCCGATTAGAAAGTCCTCTTCTAATCAGAAGTTTATAAAATCTTATTTTTTTGATAGGAAAGTCATCTACCTATCAAAAAGCCTGAAATTCCATTCATGGTAGGTTAGTTCTCTACCTATAAGAAAATCCATCTCGTTATCCTAATATAAAAGTCCTCTCTACACTAGAAATCTACTAGAAAATCCATTTCTGATAAAAAAAGTCTTCTATCTATCGAAAAATTCATCAAAGTCTCCATTTGATGTAAAAGTCTGCTTTATAATCCACTCAAAATTATTATCTGATAGAAAAATACTCTTTTTCAATTAATTTTTTATTCTTATGTGAATGCCCTTTGAATTAGAGTTCCACCAAAATTTCCTTTTGATGGAAAAGTCTTATCTCGATCAGAAAATTCCTCTAAAAAAATCAAATCAAATACCCCTCGAGATGAAAACAAATCAATTGTAAACTAAGGGTCGAACTTATGGATCATTATCTATCTTGACTGAGATGCTCTCATCCACATCCTAGTTAAGGGAGACAATTTTGATCACACAACGCACAATTCAACAATATCATGAAAACCATGAAACATAAACCAAAGTACTTCGTAGTATAAGTAGATCTCAAATGTATTATAGAAAGATTAAAGCTTTTTTTATTTCAATTTTTTAAAGAATTGTAGATGTCCTTATAAAAAGGAAAAGTATGTGCTTAACATGTTATTTGAAACTGCGCTATTAGGGTATAGGAGTATTGATTTGCCAAAGGAGGTAAATATCAATGTGCTACCAGATCAAGGGAGCTATTGGATGGAGGTACCTAGAAGCAATGTTTTCAATATCAGATACTATGAAAATATTAAACGGCTAAAATCCATATCGAATTGCGGTTGTTGTGGAAATATCAAGGATGTGTAGTAAATATTAGAGTGCTATATTTGATGATGTGCCTATATCATATGATGTCCTAAAATATAATCTAAAAACATAATGAAGTCTAAGTATACAAAAAATGTGAATAATATATGTTTAGAAACGAATCAATTGTAGGAACTTATGAGAGGGAAAATATCCTACAAGAATTTTGCTAAAAAAACTTACAAGAATTTTGCTAAAAAAACTATATAGGACTTCAATTTTTTGTTAAACGACATTAAGGAAATCGTGTAGAATTATATTGTTTTATGAAAATCTGTATAAGTAGACATATCAGCTGATAAATCAGCCATATTAGGGATATTATAGCCTAGAAATTGTCAAAAAACGGTAAAGGATATTGATACCATTTGCGGCAAGCCTTTTGAAAGAATATATCGGCCAATATATTGACAATATCAGGGATATTTAAAATAATGAATGGAAGGTATAGAAATTAGAAAGTTGTAATAAATTCTCTATTATAAATAAGAATAGAAAGGGAGGTAATCGATCTCTCTAATTTCCTCAAATATGAATACTGGACAAGCAATGATACAGAACTGCTTTACTAAAAATGACTTATTTCTTTACTCTCTCTATGTCATAAGCTTGAGAGTATATGCTTAGAGTGTGCATTACTTTAAAGGCTTAACAGGTTAATCGACATTTTTTAATTAATTTGATACCTTTTGAACTTCTTTCCCTGGGCTTTAAAGTGTCTTCAGCTAGTCCTCAATGAGCTAAATATCTATGAACTTAATTTGTATTGACGAAGAAATTTAAAAGTTTTCACTGACATGCAGAATGCAAAAGCACGTTAAAGAACAAGAAGAATTGCTCTTGCTGCATTACCTATCTGTTTAGATGTAGAATAACCATTTATTTCCCAGGATTTTCTGGCCGATTCTCCTTCAAGGGTGGTATTTTTCAAATGGTATAAAGACCTAAGTAGAAGACTGCTCCAATTAAGGAATTAAATGTATACTCATAAATGTATGTTGAGTTATTCTTTCACCGTAGAAGTTTATGTCTACATTTGTAAAGGATGAACTGTTCTGCCTTGTTTGTTTTAGCTGTTGAGTATCCTTAATGATTCTGATCTTATAGACAATTTTTATTATTATATACATTAATAGTAATTTCTGCCGCTCATGTCATAAGTTTCCCCCATTTGCTTGTCCTTGTCCTTTTCCATGCCTTCATCTCTTTTAGACATTCAACTGAGGTTCTGGGACTCTCCCATGTCAAGGAGTGTCTCTGAGTTTGTCTCAGATTTTCCCCCTTTTTTTTCTTTTTTTTTGGGAGAAGAACATGAAAATTAATGCGTGGCTATTCTCTGTTTGCTTGTTTGTTCTTCAAGATGGAAGGAGAACCTCAAGGTTTAATCTTTTTCCTTTTTCTTTAAAAGTTTGCATTACAAACAATTTTATTCTCCTAACATGATGTAGATAAGCCCAAGTTGCCTCCAAACTTCGAAGAAGATACTTGGGCAACACTAAAGTCTGCTATCACAGCTATATTCTTGAAGAAGCCAGATCCCTGTGACTCTGAGAAGCTTTATCAGGTATTTTCCCAATGTAAACTTGTTTTGTGCTAGAAAGTTTCTGATAGAAATTTCTTTTATGATTTTGGGACCAAATGTAAACCATTCTGTTGCAGGCTGTCAATGATCTTTGTATTCATAAGATGGGAGGAAACCTTTACCAACACATTCAATCGGAATGTGAAGTACACATCTCCTCAGCACTTCTGTCATTGGTAGGCCAGAGCCCGGATTTGGTGGTGTTTCTATCGCTGGTAGAGAAATGCTGGCAGGATTTCTCAGACCAGATGTTGATTATTCGTAGCATAGCCTTATACCTTGATAGAACATATGTGAAACAAAACAGTGGCGTTGATTCACTGTGGGAAATGGGGTTGAAGCTGTTTGAAAAGCATCTCTCCAACAATAAAGAAGTGTTGCACAAAATTGTTACAGGCCTTCTGAGATTAATTGAGAGGGAGAGGTATGTCGAACATTTTGCAATCTTTAAATTGTTGTGCAGATTTTTGCTTATTTTGCAGTGTGACAATTTATGTAATCTACCCGTAGTTGATCCTTTGTTATCATACACTCTTTGAATTTTGCATCAAGCCTCTTACCCATGGCAAACATAGCCCCGACATGCGTTATGAACTCATTAGCCAGCTCTACCTCATGAAATCACAAGTACTGCCTGAGGTCTAAGTAAATCCAAATTGTAGGTTTATTAGGTCCTAACTGGATCATTCACTTTTTTACCTGTGAAAAAGGTTTAACTGTCCTGTCTGTGATATTAAAAATTACTTTTAAAAATATTTTCCCATTTATTTCTCTGGTATAAAAGAACCTTGTCGTTCATTATGCTGAAGACATATTTAAGTGTCCACGCAGGGACAACTTCTTGCTTTATCTGGACTCAGAATTATCTTATATAATACTGAACGAATAAGAAGGATTCAATAGCTGATTCTGATACTTGGGATGAAGGGTTTATCGTTGACTTGTTTTCTAATAAATAATGAAGCATATAGTAGAGACCATAATGGATGCATTCTCTGGACCTGTGTTTACATTATATAGTAGAGTAGCAAGCTGTTGTGAATTACATAGAGTTAGAGGCGAATAAACTGAGAATATAATTCATAGAGAAATATCTGCGACGTAGTTGAGAATATAACAGAATTCGCATAACAACTATGTGAAGAAGATGTATGGTATTGGTATCTAACAATCTCCTTTACATTAATCATTGGTTAACTTGACAGATGACTTTTCATTTTCTCACACATTCAGATACTGATTAATAAGAAGCAATGAAGCAGCCTAAAAGTTTGACTTTTTGTGTGTGTCACAGTTAAATATCCTGAATGCTTTCTGAATTCATTTTATTGCTGTACTTTCCATTTTATTTGTATTTATTGGTTGTAATTCAAGTAACACCTGTACTGAATCGGAGTTTATGTATTAGTCATGGAATGAGCTACTTATACTCCCATAACAGTAATAGCATCTTAATATATTTTGAATAAGGTGGTGGATTTAACCAGTGTTTTCAATGCGCGAGGCGCAATGCAGAGCGCAAAGCATCTTTACGCGCACATGCGCAAGGCGCAACGCGATGCGCGCGCCCGAGTGATGCGAGGCGCACACTACACACATAATATTTTAATATATGTGATCAAACGCGAAAGAACATGTTTTTAGAATTTACATGAAAAATATCAAGATAAATAATATCTTACTACAAAATCACAATATATTGCCTTAATTTCTAATGCTAACACCCAACATAGTAGCAAATTTCATAAATTTTCAAATCAAATGTTAAATCAAGACTAATATCCAAACAAAGGATTAGTAATGGTCCTCAATTGAAGGTTATTAAAAAAGCCCAATGGATTTATTTTGCTTTTTGGGATATGGAATATCAAGTATAAAGACTCGATTGAAATGTTAACAAACAAAACTATATGAGGAAATATACTACATGCATCCTACACAAAGTACGGAGGTACGCGAGGCGCTGCTGCATCAAATGTGGGGCGCTTCGTCATCGCCCCGCATCGTGAGGCGCATGAGGCGCAATGAGGCGCGCGCCTTTGAAAACACTGGATTTAACTATTTAGGCTTAGCATGTTTGGCTTCATACTAACTTTGTTGGTTTTTCTAATTATTGCTTTTTAGGCAGTACTTAAAACAAATTATCTGTTTTCCTTTGACCAGGTTGGGTGAAGCTATTAACAAGGCACTACTTAATCACCTTTTGAAGATGTTTACTGCTCTAGGAATTTATGTGGAGAAATTTGAGAAACCATTTCTTGAAAGCACTTCTGAATTTTATGCTGCAGAAGGTGTGAAATACATGCAGCAGTCAGATGTTCCAGAGTATTTGAAACATGTAGAGGTACTTATTTTGCCTCTTGTTCTTTCTCTTTTATGCTTCAGTCATCTGTATTGATTGGCATTGAAGTGCTAGAGTTATGATTAGTTAGATGCTTGAAGTTTGATGGGTTCAAAATGCAGTTAAGGTTGCATGAAGAGCATGAAAGATGCTTGCTCTACTTGGATGCTAGTACAAGGAAGCCACTTATAGCAACAGCTGAAAAGCAACTTCTTGAACGCCACACAGCTTCCATTCTTGATAAGGTTGTACATCATTAGTGCTTTTGACTGGTATAGCTTTAAAGTTTAACTTGCTGTTTTTTATCCTTCTCTCTTTTCATTAGGGATTCACAATGCTTATGGAAGCTAAACGTATTGAAGATCTCGAGAGAATGTATACTCTTTTCCAGAGAGTTAATGCTCTTGAATTACTAAAGCAAGCGTTGGGCTCGTACATTCGTGGTACTGGGCAAGGTATTGTCATGGATGAAGAAAAAGATAAAGATTTGGTTGCATGCCTCTTGGAATTCAAGATGTCCCTTGATATGACATGGGAAGAGAGTTTCTTCAGAAATGAATCATTTTCACAAACCATAAAGGATTCATTTGAGCACCTGATTAATCTTCGACAGGTCAGATATATTTGCCACCCAAGCCAAGACACTCCAGGCTGCTCTCATTTGCTACATTATTATATCATAATACTCTAGAAATTTAGTAAGATTTATCTGACCGATAATTGTGACATTTTGTTATGTCGTATCTTGGATCCTTTCAAGATTCTTCTATATTCTGTCTCCTTGCTCAGCTTCTCTTCACTTATGCTTCAGTAGATGCCTTGGAGTTTTTGTAGAATAGATCCATTGAGTTCTAAAATGAATGACATAGTATGACAGTCCCTGTCTATAATTAGAGGTTAATGCTGATAAGTCTATATTTCATGAATATTAAAATTATTGATTAAGCTAAAGTTGTAGATGTCACAGAGTGAGCTCTTTTTGATATTGTAGACAGTAGCAAATACAGAATTACTTAATATCTGACCTGTTTTGTTGCCTTTCTTTTATAAAGTCCGTTGTTAAATGGAAATGAAGAACAATTGTCTTGGAATTTTACTGTTTTCTGTATTAATTGGTTTGCCGGTACAATTTATCCAGGTTTTTTTGGCATTTCGCTTTCTTATGTTCTCTTTACTGTATCAGCATGCCAGACCAACTGGCCTGAAACTTGAGGGATTTGTATTGTAGGTTGATGCTTGCTCTGGATTGTTACAGTCATTTGTGTGACAAAATTTTCTTTCCTGATTCCTTATTGTCCCAAGACTTCCAACTTGATTTTAGTTTGGGACTAAATCCATCTAGAGTTATGTTTCTTTCTTCCCAATAAGTATAGACTCTACTTGAGATGCTATGCTAGCTTGACAGGGTTCATGCGTACAGTTATGATATATTTCCACAAACATTTAGACCTAATAAATGGCATATAATCACGTAAATTCTCCAATGTGCTCTCTTTAGCATGATCTATGCAAACTAAACCCTTGGTTGGCTGACAATCCTTATCATCATTATGGACTCAACCTACTATAGACTAGGATTCTTTTTTTGTGCGCGCGTGCGCGCGTGAGCTGATAAATCAGATTGTTAGATTTGCTACATATATTTGAGCACAAGATTGTATGGGTTAAGAAGTTGGATTGTTAAGTCTGCTACATATTTTGAACTGCAGACATGCATATTCTCGTCTAGCTGCTTGATTTTTTTGTTAGTATTATTTTGTTATAATTCTTGTGTTTCTTGCTTTATCAGACCAGTTCATAAAACTTTTAGTATCCAGTCCACTGACTGCAAAACACATTTTCGTAGCTAACTAATTGTTCTCTTCTTTTTGCAATGCTATGTATTTCTCCTCCATCTATGTATTCAATACAAATGTGTCCGTGAAAGCTAATGAAATCTGTATTTATATTCCATACAACAGAATAGACCTGCTGAGCTAATTGCAAAGTTTCTGGATGAGAAGCTTCGTGCTGGCAACAAGGGTACTTCTGAAGAAGAGTTGGAAGGTGTACTTGACAAAGTATTGGTATTATTCAGATTTATACAGGTACATACTGGGAATATTTAGTGCATGATATATGTTTGTCGTTCTTAGGTTCAACTTAAATTAAACATCACACCCGTTTTTGCTTTCTCTATGACTGAGTTACATGTTATCTATCTACTTGTGGCTTTCTGAAGTGCCTCCGAATACTGACTGGCAAACGTATTTTGTTCACCATCCATCAGGGCAAAGATGTTTTTGAGGCATTCTACAAGAAGGATCTTGCCAAAAGGTTATTGTTAGGAAAGAGCGCCTCAATTGATGCTGAAAAGTCAATGATCTCGAAAGTAACTATGATAAAGTTTCCTTTGAAGTTGTTTCTGGATGATACTTCCCACTCATTTCTTTAAAGTGCTAGATTTATCTAACCCGAAGTTTGATACCTTTTCAGCTCAAGACCGAGTGTGGCAGCCAATTTACTAATAAACTTGAAGGAATGTTCAAGGTATACATACAATATCTTCTTTAGGTCTCATGACCAGATCTCATGTTGTGGTGACATAGTAGTTCTTTTAATACAAATTTGTTCTCTAAAGAAGTACATAGTGGGCGAAAAAAAGGTAAGTAGAAGTACAAGACCCATGCATTTTATGAAAATAAGATATACGGGTCATGGTTACTTGATCGAGAAGACCCCTTGACCCGAAGAGGTTTAAGTTGATAAGTTATGGGCTT